TCTTCATAAGCTGGAATATAATTGATAACATCCCGAACATGAGGACCTCTCAAGTCTTGGAGAAAGAGTGCCAACCTTCTTCAAATCGACCTCCTGAAACTTCAATGGTCGGAACCTACAGTTGTAGTAATGTAAAGTAATGGGGTGAGTACGCCACATGTACGAAGTATGGGTATATGCACATAACATTTAAGGATATGCATGAAAAAGTATCATTTGTCATATCTTTAGAAAACATGCTAAGTCATATGAAAGTCTTCAATGCACATACCATATAACATATACAAGTTAAGGATTCCATGAATATAAAGCATGATCTAAGCAAAAACATATTATCATAGAGTCATATTAACTTTTCATATTCAATAACTCATCTAAAATAGCATACAAAATACTTATTAATGATCCCATGACCAACCAACAAGTGCAATGGTCATGTGAAGCCCCATAACCCACATAACCAAGTAGATAAGATATGAGACCATGAGTAAAGCTATGGTTCATATAACTTGTACCATAAGTAGTCATCACTTCATTTAACAATATATCCAATACGATATTCATCATAAAGACCAACATCGTGTATCATAAACATCATATATTTCATGTAATCATATTACATAAGAACAATCTTCTAGGATTTCCCTTAGAGTCAACTTGTGCAATGTCTAGGTAGGGTCCCATACCCTACCTTTACTAAGTAGACTCCTCAAGTCACCCTAGTCAACGTTCATTTACTTGTCCTTCATGTAATATGAAGGAACATTAGCCTTAACCAACATAGACCATGTGAATTAAATATGGAATCTAGTGTCATAATACCCCACACCGAAAGAAGGTGGTTTACCGACCAAAGTAGAACCAATCATGACATAGCTTTCTAGGTGGATCCACTAGCTACTATCCTATGGTGTTAACATATTTCAAGAACTAGGAGATGTATTAGAGACCCTTAGTTCAACATTACATGGCATCCTCAATCTCATGAAAGTCATTGTGAACCTACCTTCCAACTTGTTAAGGGACACCACTCATAATTAGTTCATAGATGCTTAGCTTAAGTCCCTTTCTTGACTAACCTTTAAGTTGTATTTTTATCATGAACTTATCATAGGTCATAGGAGATTAACTCTTTTTATAAACATGATCATGAGCTCTTTAGGATTAGATGAGAATTTTCTTTCATCGCAACCCTTCGTATGTGAGATTAACTTAAGATAGTCATCTTGTGAAAAGCGTAGAAGAGAATATCTTAACTTGAATTATCGTGTGCTTTTCATGATCTCACAAATACATGTTCATAGCCCAGCATCTACACATAACAACATCATACATATTTCCATAACAAAACATCATGATCTTTAGTCTAATATAAACATTGAAGAGTACTCACAACTTTAGAATACTTACCTCTAGCTTCCAAGAACCTTATTCAAGAACTTACATTAAACTTACAACATTCAGAACCATAACATAGTAAAATACTCTATATCATAATAAGGAAAAATTCTTTTAATCATGTATAAGATCCATGCATAATGTCGGGTAAAGGATAAGGGTCATTTAAGAGTTCATTCTAGTCTTAGTTTCAATCTTAACGTTTTCATATTACCAAGTAGTAGAAACAATCATACGAAACCATCATCTAGATAAGAACATGCTTCACACAAAATTCAAACATAACTAACAACATACTCATCATATCATGTGGAATAGACCATAGAAAATACTTACTTTTATTGAAAATAATAAATCTAGGGTTATGAAGAAAGTTTGTTTTGTAGAGTAAAATCCCTAGTGTTTGAAGTTCTTGAAAACTTATATCTGAAACGACCTCTTGAGGAAAGTAATACCAAGAGTGAAAAACCCATACCTTAGAGATGAAGAATCCACGAAAATTGGATGAAAAGCTTGAGGTCTTCGTCTTCTTTCTTAAGCTCTTCTTGTTCTTCAATGGAGTTTGGAGAAGAGAGTGATCTCGAGAGAATGAGAGAAATTTCATTTGATCTGGTCTAGGACGTGCAAAAGTGGTCTAAAACTGACCTAATATCAATATATAGTCGTCCTATTAATTATCCAAAAGACCCTCCACTTAAATGGGTCTTTCTAATAAGTTGAATTACCAAAAATACTACTTTAACGATTCTGAGAAGTAGCTCCGCGTTGCGGGGCCAAATCCCATCATTTTTATTAAATTTTGAGTTAAGGAAATGAGGTACGTGTAAGCCTTGTTTTGCGAGGCTTCCTATTAAATCTTGAGTCTGAACACCTTGTGACAGGCGCACGTCGCACGCCATGCTTCCACTTCTTCCTGCGCGCAGGTGCAAGGCAGCCTGCCCACCCATGTTTGGGTCCTCCACAAGGATCCTTAGGGTCGTCCTTGGGCTGTCGATACTGCACATTTAGACACTTTGTACTACATAATACCTATCCAATGTCACTTTACAAGTTTTGGACATCATTTGACATTTCAAAACCTTCACCAAACATACGGATGTCAACTAGTTTAATTTAGCTAATTTCCGGACGTCAAGATCTTTCTTAGTTTTTTTTTATCTAACCTTTTCTAAATGAGTTTATTAAATTAATATAGGTCTGGAAACATCATTTTAAAAATTATTTGATGGATTAATATCTAGTCTAATCCATGACTTTTTCGGAGTGTTACATTATCCCCCCCTTAGGAACATCCGTCGCCGAATGGCACTAAAATCTTTTGGTGAGTAGGAATAGACTCAATACTAGCAGCACAACCAATCAACCACATAAAATCATAAAGATTTACAATACATAGGAGTATATCACAAGTCCTTACAACACATACCATAACATTACACATTACACGCAATTCATAATACACAACATATAAGAGCTCCATATTCATAACACAAAGTAAGGAATTTCCTTCTCAACCTTATCATAAGCTCAAAATGCATAAAAGATTCACCATGCTATCATTCTTCTCAAGATGGCAACAAAACCACAAAATCTCAAGAAAACATATGCATACATGTTTCACATAAGTGCAAGAATAGTGTACGAAGGCATTTGCTTAAAATTCTAGTTGGTACAACATTTACAAGACATGCACCTATTTAGAAACCAAGTCAATTTCATGATCATGCATTACTTTCTCAATTAATATGAATGTATAACCTTAAGGAGTAAAGAGATGAGGGTAGAGGGACTTCATGTCAGCTTTAGCCTCCCATGTTGCACCCTCAACAAGATGGTTCCTCCATAGAACTTTTACAGAGGCAACCTCCTTGTTTCTCAACTTCTTGATTTAGCGATCTAGGATCTCAACCGGAACCTCTTCATAGGAGAGGTTCTCATCAATTTCTAAACCTTCAATAGGTAGAATAGACACTGGGTCACCTATGCATTTGTTGAGCATACACATATGAAACAGCGAATGGACTGACGCTAGTTCACTAGGTAGTTTCTCATTGGGAACAACATACTAGAGACTTAACTTTCCCTTTCTACCGAAATCATCACCCTTTCATAGGTGAAATATTCAAGTAGACATGATCACCTATTTCAAACTCAATATCTCTTTTTATATTATTATCATAAGACTTTTGCCGACTATAGGCTATCTTCAATCTATCTCTTATGATTCGAATCTTCTCTATATGTTCATAGATAATCTCTGGACCAAGGAGTGAGGACTCACCAACCTCAAATCATCCAAGCAGATATCTACACCTTCTACCATAATGAGCTTCAAAAGGTGCCATGGAGATGCTTGAATGATAGTTATTGTTGTAAGAGAACTCGATCAAAGGTAAGTGTTCATCCGAACTTCATTTGAAATCAATGAAAAATGATATTAACATTTTCTCAAGTGTCTGAGTGGTAATTTCCACTTGACCATCCGTTTGAGGATGAAAAGCGGTACTAAATTTCACTTGAGTACGTCAACCCTTTTGGAAAACCTTCCAAAAACGAGAAGTGAATTGGGCACCTCTATCCGAAATGATGGACAAAGGAATCCCATGAAGACTCACAATCTCATTAATCTAGATCCTTGCATAGTCTTTAGCCGTGTAAGTGGACTTAACAAGAATAAAATGGGAAGATTTGGTCAACCTATCCACAATAACCAATATAGAATAATTTTGCTTTCGGTTTCGAGGCAACCCAACAACAAAGTCCATATTGATGGCTTCCCACTTCCATGTAAGAACATCCATGATTTTAGTTAACCCATCCGGTTTGAGATGCTCAACTTTACTTTTTGGCAGTTTGGACACTTAGCAACAAACACTGCTATGTCCCTGTTTAAACCATCCCACCAATAGTACTCTCTAAAGTCATGATACATTTTGGTGGCACCCGGATGTATAGAATAGCCAGAATCATGAGCTTCTTCTTGTATTCGATTTCTCAAATCCTCAACATCACGTTCACATAATCTCCTTTGGTACCTAAGAACACCATCTTCCCCTTGAAAGAATGACTCATTGAGCTTACCAAGTACCAATTCTTCAAATCCATCAATAGTGTATCATGATGTATCTTAGATTTTTCACCTCGACCACTAATGATTAGTTAGAGTTATGATGGACCATGAAAACCACCATTTGGAGAATCTTCTAACCTCACACCTAAGCGAGCCAACCTATGAACATCTTTCACAAGCTTCTTCACTTCCTCCACTTGAGACACACTACCCATAGTCATTCGACACAAAGCATCCTTAACCACATTGGCTTTGTCGGGGTGGTAAAAGACACTCATATTATAATTCTTCAACAATTCTAACCATCTTCTTTGTCGGAGATTTTTAATTCCTTTTGTGTAAACACATATTGAAGACTTTAATGGTCAGTAAGCACATCAACATGCACACCATACAAGTAATGTCTCTATATTTTCAAGGTAAAAACTACATCGACTAACTCAAGATCATCAGTTGGGTAATTCTTCTCATGAACTTTGAGTTGCCTGGAAGCATAAGCAATCACCTTTCCATGTTGCATGACGACACATCCCTATCCCACTCGAGAAGCATAACAATACACTACAAAGCCTTCATTGCCCTCCGATAAAGTCAAAATTGGAGCGGAGGTAAGCTTATCTTTCAACTCTTGAAAACCTTTCTCACAAACTTCAGACCGCTCAAACTTCACCTTCTTTTGGGTCAAAGATGTCAAAGGAGAAGTAATGGACGAAAATCCATCAAGAAATCTTCTATAATATCCGGCTAGACCCAAGAAACTCCTTATGTCTGTGGGAGTCAAAGGTGTAGGCCAATTTCTAACTGCATCTGTCTTCTTCGAATCAACTTCTACACCATCACCAGAGATAATATGGCCAAGAAAAGAAATCGACCTTAACCAAAACTCACACTTGCTAAATTTTCCATAAAGTTGGTGTTCTTTGAGTACTTGGAAGGCCATGAGCTTCTTCTAGAATTCAATTTCTTAAATCCTCAACATCGGGTACACATAATCTCCCTTGGTACCTAAGAACACCATCCTCCCCTTGAAAGAATTACTCATTGAGCTTACTAAGTGCCGATTCCTTCAACTCCATCAATAGTGTATCATGATGTTTCTTAGATTTCACCACGACCACTAATATGAGTCGGAGTAATGATTGACCATGAAACCACCATTTGGAGAATTTTCTAACCGCACACCTAAGTGAGCCAACCTATGAACATCTTTCATAATCTCTTTCTTCTCTTCCTCCACACGAGACACACTACCCATAGTCATTCGACACAAAGCATCATCAATCACATTGGCTTTGTCGGGGTGGTAAAAGACACTCATATTATAATCCTTCAACAATTCTAACCATCTTCTTTGTCGGAGATTTTAATTCCTTTTGTGTAAACACATATTGAAGACTTTAATGGTCAGTAAGTACATCAATATGCACACTGTACAATTAATGTCTCTATATTTTCAAGGTAATAACTACATTGACTAACTCAAGATCATGAGTTGGGTAATTCTTCTCATGAACTTTGAGTTGCCTGGAGGCATAAGCAATCACCTTTCCATGTTGCATGAGGAAACATCCCTATCCCACTCGGGAAGCATAAGAATACACAACAAAGCCTTCATTGCCCTCCAGTAAGGTCAAAACTGGAGAGGAGGTAAGTTTAACTTTCAACTCTTGAAAACCTTTCTCACAAACTTTTGAACACTCAAACTTCACCTTTTTATGGGTCAAGGATGTCAAAGGAGAAGTAATTGACGAAAATCCATCAAGAAATCTTCTATAATAGTCAGTTAGACCTAAGAAGCTCATTATGTCTGTGGTAGTCAAAGGTGTAGGCCAATTTCTGACCGCATCTGTCTTTTCGAATCAACTTCTACACCATCACCAGAGATAATATGGCCAAGAAAAGAAATCGACCTTAACCAAAACTCACACTTGCTAAATTTTCCATAAAGTTAGTGTTGTTTGAGGACTTGCATGGCCAACCTCAAGTAACTCTCGTGCTCATCTTCATTCTTGGAGTATATCAAAATATTATCAATGGACACAATTACAAATAAGTCTAGGTAATCTCGGAACACTCTATTCATTAGGTCCATGAACGCTGCTGGGGCATTCGTTAACCCAAAAGACATAACTAGGAATTCATAGTGACTATATCTAATTCGAAAAGATGTTATGGAAACGTGTTCACCTCTCACCCTAAGTTGGTGATATTTTGACCTTTAGTGAATCTTTGAAAAGTAACTAGCACCTTGGAGTTGATCAAATAGATCATCAATTCTAGGGAGAGGATACTTGTTCTTTATGGTGACCTTATTGAGTTGGCGATGATCAATGCACATTCTAAGTGACCCATCCTTCTTCTTGATAAATAAGACTGGAGCACCCAATGGAGAAATAGTAGGTTGAATAAAACCTTTGTGTGATAAATCTTTGAGTTGGAGCTTCAACTCTTTCAATTCAGCCAGAGCCATCTTATATGGAGGAATTGAAATGGGATTCATATATGGTAAAAAGTTAATGGCAAAGTCAATTTCCCGTTCGGGAGGAACTCCTGGAAGGTTTTTAGGAAAAACCTTTTGGAATTCTCTCACTACAGGGGATGACTCAATAGAAGGAATTTCATATTCTAGGTCCTTAAGTCTCACTACATGGTATAAAAAACCCTTGGCTATCATCTTACAAGCCTTCCAACAAGAAACAATTTGGCCCCTTGGCATAGGATTTTCGCCTTCCACTCTAGAATAGGTTCGTTAGGAAATTGAAATTTCACTACCCTTGTTTTACAATCTATGGAAGCAAAACAATCATGAAGCCAATCCATACCCAAGATGATATCAATATCAAACATGTCAAGTTCTACCAAATGAGAAAGAGACACTCTATTGGGCAACATCAAAGGACATTTCCGATAGACTCTTTTTGCAAGTACAGAGTCACCCACTAGGGTACAAACTGAAAAGGGTTCAATCAAAACATCATGAAGTACATTAAACTTCCTAACTATCATAGGTTTAACAAAATAAAGAGTAGCACCTGGATCAAGTTATGCATAGACATTAATATAGAAAACTTGTAACATACCCATCATAACGTCTGGAGAGATTTCTTGTTCACCCCAGCCTTGAGTGCATAAAAATAATTCATTTTTGGAGCTTCTAGGACAACTTGGTTAAGCTTGACAATTCTCCTTGCCTTGGCTCTTACATTAGGATAATCTTTCACCATATGGACACCCTTGCCAAAACCATACCAACTCTTAGTCCTAACAAGACATTCACCCATATGTTTTTTACCACACTTACCTCAAGTTGGTTTCTCTTTTGGTGGATCAACATTTATCCCCATTGCGGTTTAGTATTACAACCTCAATCATTGCGGTTATTTGAGAAATTAGCATGAAACTGATTTTAAAACCTCTTCTTAAACTTAATCTTGTCTTGGACATCAAGCCTACTCTCACAAAAACCACTTTTAAACGACTTTGCCCTCTTAGCTTTCCTATTCCTCTTCCTTAGACAACTTTTCTCAATCTGTTGAGCATGTACCATCAATCTAGAAAGATCCATATTGTCATAAATCATTGATGCACGACATTCTTCTTCAAGCTCTTCGAATACGCCCGTTACAAAACTGCTCATTTAATCCCTAGAATTAGAAACCAAAGAAGAAACATATTTGGAAAGCTTAATGAATTTTAAGGAGTATTCGTTAACACTTATACCTCCTTGATGAATGTTGATTAACTCATATACCTTAGCTTCTCTTTGTTCCCTTGGAAAGAATCTGTCAAGAAAGGTTTTTTTTGAAGATCTCCCAAGTCACATGACCATGTTATAAGGCCCAATTTTTCATCCACTGGTTATACCATGTCTGAGACATGTCCTTGAGTTGATAGGTATCAAGTCCTGCTTTCTCAGTAGTACTCACCCCTGTAGCAAACAAGATCTTGTAGACCTCATCAAGGAAATCTTAGGGGTCTTCATCAACTTTTATTCCAAAGTACATGAGAGGATTTATCCTTGCGAAGTCTATCAAACGACTAGCCACGGTACTAGCATGTCGGTTCTCCCAAGAAACAACCTGCCTGTTAGCTTGAGCTTTGATGGCTTGAGCTTGGGTGGTGATGGCTTGGGAAATTTGAAACAATGCTTCCCTCACCTCACCATCCATCATAGCCGGAGGATTCACCGGAACTTGATCATTTGCAGCAACTTGAACTTGAGGAGCATTCGATTGCCTTAGGGAGTAGCTCCCATATTAACAATATCTTCTCCTACTCTTCTCGCGGATGTCCTTCTTGTGTTCATCGTCTATAACCATAAGAAAGAGATTAGATGCTAAAAGACATATAGTGTCAAAACTTTAAATGCACGATATAGGAGTATCAACAAAAGAGAAGTTTCCCAGTCATCACATAATCTCTCATCCATAATTATGGCACGCTGCACAACCATGAACAAGACACTAGGCAACGTGGTTTAGTGAGCCATTGATCATAAGGATATTTAACCTCATGCTCTAATACCAAGCTTGTCACACCTGAAGCGCATACCCAAGATGAGATCGGCGTCGTCATCCTCTCAGACGACTCAGACAAGCCCTTAGAATTCGTCATAACATGTGATCAGTAAAAATTGTGAAAATTAAAACTTTTACATTCTACTTGAAGTATACTTAGACTTCATACTTATAATTCATAAACCATACGATATTTTAAGAAATTGTCTCCCATATATAAAACCATCTAGAGAGTGCAGATTTGGACTTAGCCTATGCATAATAAATATGCCATATAGGCATTCATACAAAAGAATCCAAAGAAACATGATGGAAATAAGATATTTATTATATCTACTAAAGTCTTAATAATTTGGAATATAATTGATAGCGTCCCAAAAATGAAGACCTACCAAGGCTTGGACAAAGATTTCCAAGCTTCTTAAAGTCAACCTCCTTAAACTTTAATGGCCGGAACCTACAGTTGTAGTAATATAAAGTAATGGGGTTAGTACGCCAAATGTACTATGTATGGGTATATGCACATAATATTTAAGGACATGTATGAAAAAGAATTATTTGTCATATATTTAGAAAACATGCTAAGTCATATGAAAGTCTTCAATTCACATACCATATAACATATACAAGTAAAGGATTCCATCAACATAAGTCATGATCGTAAGCAAAGACATATTATCATTGAGTCATATTTACTTTTCATATTCAATACATCACGTAACATAGCATACAAAACACTTATCAATGATCCCATCCACAACATAAAAGTGCAATGGTCATGTGGAGCCCCAAAACCCCACACTACCAAGTAGATAAAATAGGAGACCATGAGTAAAGCTTTGGTTCATATAACTTGTAACATAAGTAGCCATCACTTCATTTAACAATATAACCCAATAACATATTCATCATAAAGACCAGCATCATATAAGAGTAACATGATGTATCATAAAATCATACCTTTCATGTTAGTCATATTACATAATAAAAATCTCCTAGGAGCTCCCTTAAAGTCAACTTGTGCAATTTCTAGGTAAGGTCCCATACCCTTACCTCTATTAAGTAGACTCCTCACGTCACCCTAGTCAAGGTTTATTTACTTATATTTAATTTTACATGAGGGAACATTTGCCTTAATCGACATAGAACATATGAGCTAAACATAGAATCTGGTGTCATAAAAGCCCACACCGAAAAAAGGTGGTCTACAGGCCAAAGTAAAACCAAACATGACATAGCTTTTTAGGTGGATCCAATAGATTGTATCCTATGGTGATAGCATAGTTCAATAACTAAGAGATGTATTAGAGACCCATAGTTCCACATTACATGGCAGCCTCAATCTCATGAGAGTCATTGTGAACCTACCTTCCAACTAGAGAAGGCACACCCTTCATATCTAGCTCATCAGTGCTTAGCTTAA